GAACAAAGCCTCCCTGAGGAAGAAGAGAAATCTAAAAGTTTGGAAAACATATTTAAGGGAAGAATAAAGTAAAACTTCCTTAGGCTTGCTAGAGATCTAGGTATCCGAATACAAGAGTCTCAAAGAACACCTGGGAAATTCATCACAAAAAGACCATTGCCTAGGCACATAGTCATCAGATTATTTAAAGTCAAGACAAAGGAAAGAATCTTAAGAGGTATGAGGCAAAAGCATCAGGTAACCTATAAAGGAAAACCTATCAGATAAACACAAATTTCTCAGCAGAAACCCTACAAGCTAGAAGGGATTGGGTTCCTATATTTAGCCTCCTTAAGCAAAACAATGATCAGCCTAGAATTTTGTATCCAGTGAAAACAAGCTTCATAAATGAAGGAAAGATACAGTCATTTACAGACAAACAAATGCTGAGAGAATTTACCAGTACCAAGCAAGCCAGCACTACAGGAACTGCTAAAAGGAGCTCTAAATCTTGAAACAAATCTTCAAAATAAACCAATGTAGAACCTCCTTAAAGCATAAATTTCACAAGACCCATATAACAATAACACAATGAAAGAAAAAAAAAAGACATTCAGGCAACAAATAGCATGATCAATAGAATAATGACTCACATCTGAATACTAACATTGAATATAAATGGCCTAAAGTCTCCACTTAAAAGATAAAGAATGGAAGAATAAATAAGAATTCACCAACCATCTGCTACCTTTAATACACTCATCTAACAAATAAGGACTCACATAAACTTAAGGTAAAGGGGTGGAAAAAGACATTCCATGCAAATGGACACCAAAAATGAACAGGACTAGCTATTCTTATATCAGACAAAACAAACTTTAAAGTAACAGCAGTTAAAAAAGACAAAGGGGGACGTTATATAGTAATAAATGGACTAGTCCCATGGGCAAATATCACAATTCTAAATATATATTCACCTAACACTGGAGCTCCCAAATTTATAAAACAATTATTACTAGACATAAGAAGTGACATAGATGGCAAGACAATAATAGTGGAGGACTTTAATACTCCACTGATAGCACTACACAGGTCATCAAGACAGAAAGTCAACAAAGAAACAATGGACTTAAACTATACGCTGGAACAAATAGACTTAACAGATATTTACAGAGCATTCTACCCAACAACTACAGAATATACATCCTATTCATCAGCACATGAAACATTCTCCAAGATAGAGCATATGATAGGCCACAAAACAAGTCTCAGTAAATTTAAGAAAATTGAAATTATATCAAGTAGTCTCTCAGACCACAATGGAATAAAATTGGAAATCAACTCCAAAAGGAATCCTCAAAACCATGCAAATACATGGAAATTAAGAAACCTGGTTCAAAATGATCGTTAGATCAACAATGTAAACAAATGCCACCTGTTCCCCAAAAACCTATTGAAATAAAAAAAGTTGAAAAAAGGAAACAAATATGATTAAGAAATAGGCCAAAGATTTCACCAAAGAAGAAATATGGATGGCAAACAAGCAGATAAAAGGATGTTTAGCATCATATGTTATTAGGGAATTGTAAGTTAAAACAAGGAGATATTACAACACACCTATTAGAATGGCCAAAATCCAGAACACTAAAATGACCAAATGCCAGTGAGGATGTGGTGCAACAGAACTCTCATTCAGTGGTAGTAGAAATGTAAAATGGTTCAACTACTTTGAAAGATAGTTTGGTAGTTTCTTTCTTTCTTTTTTTAATGTACTTTAGGTTCTGGGGTACATGTGCAGATCATGCAAGATTGTTGCATAGGTACATTCATAGCAAGGTGGTTTGCTGCAACCATCCCCCCATCACCTATATCTGACATTTCTCCCCATGTTATCCCTGTCTACCCTCCCTCCCACTATCCCTCCCGTAGCCCCCCACAACGGACCCCAGTGTGTGATGCTCCCCTCTCTGTGTCCACGTGTTTTCATTGTTCAACACCCGCCTGTGAGTGAAAACATGCAGTATTTGATTTTCTGTTTTTGTGTCAGTTTGCTGAGAATGATGGTTTCCAGATTCATCCATGTCCCTACAAAGGACTCGAACTCATTGTTTTTGATGGCTGTATAGTATTTCATTGTGTATATGTGCCACATTTTCTTTGTCCAGTCTATCATTGATGGGCATTTGGGTTGGTTCCAGGTCTTGCTATTGTAAACAGTGCCACGATACAGTTTCTTAAAAACGAAATATACTCTTACTTATCATCTAAATCCCTTGGTATTTGTCAAAGGGATTAAAAACTTATGTCCACAAAAAAATCTGCATATAGATATTTACAGTAACTTTATTTATAATTGCCAAAACCATAAAGCAACCAAATGTCCTGCAGGAAGTGAATGGATAAATAAATTGAGGTACATCCAGACGATGGAATATTATTTAGTACTGAAAAGAAATGAGCTGTCTAACCCTGGAAAGACATGGAGGAAATTTAAAGGCATATTACTAAGTGAAAGAAGCCAATCTGAAAAAGCTACATATGATATAATTTGAAACATATGATATTCTAAGAAAAGGTTAAAACTATGGAGACTGTACAAAGATTAATGGTTGCCAGGAGTTAGGGAAAACTAAATAGGCACAGCATAGAGGAATTTTAGGATAGCAAAACTACTCTATGCAATACCCAGTGGTGGGTACATGGCATTATATATCTAGTCTTGCAGAATGTAAAATACAAAGAGTAAACACCAGTGTACTCTACGGACTTTGAATGATGATGTGTCAGTGTAGGTTTAGCAATTGTAACAAATTTAATATTCTGGTAGGAGACGATGGAGGAGGCTATGCATGTGTGGAGGTAGGGAGTATATAGGAAACCTCTGTACCTTCTATTCATTTTTTGCTGTGAGCCTAAAACTACACTAAAAATAACGCCTGTTTACCTAAGGCACTTAATTGTAAAATTAAAGTCACTCGTGTCTATAAGCATTACCCATGTTTGTTTGTTTGTTTGTTTGTTTTTTGAGATGGAGTCTCGCTCTGTTGCCCAGGCTGGAGTACAGTGGCATGATCTCGGCTCACTGCAACCTCTCCCTCTCGGGTTCAAGTGATTCTTCTGCCTCAGCCTCCTGAGTAGCTGGGATTACAGGTGTTTGCCACCACACCCAGCTAATTTTTGTATTTTTAGTAGAGACGGGGTTTCACCATGTTGGTCAGGCTGGTCTCGAACTCCTGACCTCATGATCCACCTGCCTCAGCCTCCCAAAGAGCTGGATTATAGGCATTAGCCACTGCACCCAGCCACCCATGGATTTTTTTTTTTTTTTTTTAATGAAACACTAGGAGAGTTTTATGCTGAAATCTTACTGGTTAAGTAAGATTTGCTAAAGGTCCTGCTCACGAATGCTGACTTCTCAAATAAAAAACCAATTATTCTTCTTAAATATTTATTTCTCTTTTCCCCTTACTTTCCATAGGATGGATTTATTGACTTTTTAGAGTCTATTGCTGCTGTAAATCTAATCGTGCAAGAAAAAATGGAGCAAAAATTAAAATGGTATTTTAAGCTGTATGACGTTGATGGAAGTGGCTCTATTGACAAAAATGAACTACTGGACGTGTTTGTGGTAAGTGAAGTAGTAAAGTATCCCTTTCAGGCCACTTTATAGTTAGCTCAGTTTCCCTTCCTATGGAGTAGGTAACAACTGTCTATGGGGTTTGCTGTTTTTTGGATGTACATTTTGAATTGCTGAAGTCATATCCTATTGGTTATTGAATGGGCAACAGCAAATAAGCTTTTTCTTCTTGGTGCAGTCCACTCTGACATTCACAAATTTAACAGAGCATTGAAATGAAAAAGTGAAATAAGTATGACATTGTAAAACAAGTTATCTTTTTCTGTGCTTCAGTGCAGAATGCCTTGTGAGAAACAGCTAAACTATGAGATGATTTATACATATTTAACAAGAGACATGGACTAAGAATGAAGGTACGTGAGGCCTAATCTTTCTGGGAGATATACTGAAGTATTTCTAATAGTTGGTTCAGGAATCTCAGATCTTTTCCATATCTAAAGTTCAATAAGTGACTTTATAAGCCACCATGCCACCCCTCAAAGGATTAGGAGATAGTTATTATCATGGTATAAAACAACAAAGATCCCAGAGTAAAAATATTGTTAAGCAGGACACTATACCTAAATGAAGATAAGAGGTGTAATTAATATTATGAATTGAAGACACTGAATTTGTAACACAGACTCAAAGAGCATTAAAATTGGATGTCTTAGAAATGATCTGGTCCAAATTCTTTGTTTCATAGATGAAGGAGCTGAGTTACAAATAAAATACACAATAGAAATATTAGCAAAAATACTAGAAAAATAAGTGAGTGGAACTACAATTATAATTAACTATCTCAACAAATGTTCAAAGCAGTTAAAAATGTAAAGCTAAATAAGTGAATGAAGAGTTAACCAACATATGGAAAGAATTCAAGGGTACAATAACACCAATATTGGTAACATTTTAATTTCACATAGATCATTCACACAAAAAAATGTACTAGGAGTCACTTGGCAAGTGAACAACTTAGAAATTCTGCCTATACATGATATATTGCAACACAAAATTAGAAATCAAATATTCTATAGAGAATACCCAACTCCATGTAAATTTTAAAATGTTCTCTTAAATACTCAGCTTTTTCTAAAAACAATGAAAATATAAATACAGCATGCAGATCTTAGGATGCCACCAAAGCGTTTCTCAAAACAAGTGTTCTTATTCTGGGATCTAAGAATCAATGGCCTTCAGGCGTCATTTTAGCCCTTGAACTTGAGGACACATTTTGCCCGTATGTTATGCTTTTTTTTTTTTTTTTTTTTGAGTGAAGGAGAGAGTCATCAGATTCTCAAAAGTATTAAGAACAACAAAAGGATAAAAGTGATTTTGTCTATAACTTATGGGAAAATGTGCTGTAGATTTTTATTAGTTAAAATGTATAACTTCATTTAGTGAGCCAAGGAAAGAGAAGTTTTAAGTTGCAAATTGAATTTTCCCTCAAAGTGCTTAGAAAGGGAAGAAAAAGAAGAACTTAGGAAAATTAAAATAACAAAAGCATAGAATAGAAATTTAATAATTAGATATCATTTGTCTCTGATTAATCAGTACTAAAAATAATAGCAAATTCTGGTAAGAGCAAGGTAAGGAAGGCAACTCACACACTGTTGAGAGTGTAAGTGGATAAAACATTCTGGGAAATATGGTAGTCTGCATCAAGAGGCTAAAAGCTGATCTTCATTTTAGAATTAACATTACTTATTCTGAATCAGGAGAAACAATCATTATGGATAAAGTCCTATGATTTATATCACAGAATCTCTTAACATAGCAAATTTTTTAAAAAAACTAAACAATGAAAATGTTTAAATAAACAAATGCAATGGAATACATACTTAGGAAGAAATTGGTAGCCTCTGAACATACTTTGTATACAATGGGCAAGTGAAAAAATTGGCAAAGTAAAGAATAATACAAACTGTGTAATCTAAGTTCTCTCTACATACAGTGAAGATGCTAAAATGGAATTCAGCCCAGGCATTTAGAGACTGGAAGGAAGTACCAGAGTCTAGGGAGGATTTACAAAGGAGATAGTTGCAGCTCAATCTCACTCCAAAGGTATAAAATAGTCAACAGAAGGGTTTTCTTTTTAAGGATTTTTTTTTTGAGACAGAGTCTTGCTCTGTCACCAGGCTGGAGTGCAGTGGGATGATATTGGCTCACCGCCACCTCCGCCTCCAGGGTTCAAGCGATTCACCTGCCTCAGCCTCCCGAGTAGCTGGGATTACAGGCACGCACCACTGCACCTGGTCCAGTTTTTAAGCATTTTTGAGGAAAATTTATTTAGTAGGACCCCCAAGTCAATAACACGAGGATGTTAGGAAACCATTGAGATGTGGCTGTATCCTGCAATTTGAGGAACACAACATTTGAGTGTTTGAGTCATGAGTGAGAAGTCTAAAGAAGCGAATGGTGACAGCAAAGGAGTGCACAGTTTGGAAGTATCTGCCTTCCTAGAATTTGTTGGGACAAAGGATGCTAGGGTGTTTTCCTTTTTTGTTTTTAACCTCCCCACCTCCTCTGAGTATTTTCCATAGATCAGGTATGGAACACTGTGAGAGGAAGCTGGCACAGATCTGCGTAAGATCTTAACCTGCGGGGCCACTGGAAGAGGTGAAGATAACTTGAAAGCTGCAGGCAGACCTAGAGTCCTTGTTCTCAACCAGGAGAATCTCTATTCAGGGGATATTTCACAGTGTCTAGAGACATTGTGGCGAGTTGGAGAGTAGAGAATGCCTAGTGCTGTTGCCATCTATTGCTTAGAGACCACGGTTACTGCCGAGCATCCGACAATGCATGGGAATGCCCTGAACAAGAAAGAATTGCCTAGTCTAAAAATGGCAATTGTACGGATTTTAAGAATTCTAAGCAAGTAAGGGACCAGCTGCAATCAAGATGCATGATTCCTGCCTAGAGAATTGCAGGAGAGAGAGTCTACACCTGCCAGTCCAGGGAGCACTGAAATTAGCTAACCAGGACAGTGCTTGCCAAGTAAGAACTCTCCTGCTTCCTTTATCTCCTACGTCCACACAGGGAGTGCTCAGAGACTGCGATTAGGAAAATATGGACGAAAGAGTGAATGTAGTAAATGAGGAAGGAAAGAAGGAAAACAAACAAATAGACAACAACAACAAAACAAATCTTCTTGCCTATCCCCCTTCCCTGTTGCTTCTATTAAAGAAAGAAAGAGGCCGGGCGGTGGTGGCTCATGCTTGCCTGTAATTCCAGCATTTTGGGAGGCCAAGGAGGGCAGATCATGAGGTCAGGAGTTTGAGACTAGCCTGGCCAACATGTTGAAACCCTGTCTCTACTAAAAGTACAAAAATTAGCAGAGCATGGTGGCAGGTGCCTGTAATCCCAGCTACTCAGGAGGCTGAGTCAGGAGAATCACATGAAACTGGAAGGTAGAGGTTGCAGTGAGCTGAGATTATGCCATTGCACTCCAGCCTGGTCAACAGAGCAAGACTCCATCTCAAAAAAAAAAAAAAAAAATTATCCCTCAGTGCTCTTCCACTTTCCAATCAGTATTTCACTTCCACTTATATGACTTGAAGATTGGCGAACAAATCACGATCTCACAATTTTTTGTTAGGACTTGTTTATGTGATCTAATATCACTTGAGAATGTGGGTATACCGGATGCCTGGCCAGATTTTCTAGGCTTTTGAAGCCTCTGACCAAACACTGAGAAATCCTTGAAATTTTCTTCAAATGTGATGCTACATGTATGTAATAGTTACTTTAAATATTGTCTTATATTCAACTATGAGAGCCATGAGACCTAAACTTGCTAAGACCAAGACTGGTGTTTTACCATCAACTATTATGATTAATCCTGGACTCCAGGTTGATAATGCTGGGGAAGCAGCAAGAAAGACAGTCATATTTATGATTGTGTCCTCTAATTGAAATATTTTGCTAGAAATTTTTATAAAGATTTCTTCTTGTTCAACCAAGATAGTTGTGTTCAAATTCCCAAATGGCTAATCCTCTTTCATTTTATTATGAAGTTCTATGTCAAGTCTGGGTCATTTAATTTAATCACCTTGGGGTTAGGGGAGGTTGGCTACATCTTCCCTCTAGGAAGGCTGGAAACGTCATTTGCCCCCTGGATCTCCTGACAGTTTTAATAATGAAAAGGCACTGGCAGAATGTGTCAGAAAGTCAGCACCCTTCTAAGGCATATATATCTGTCTCCCCAGTCAATCATTATACAAAAGGGCACAAAGAACCTGGGGTGCCAGTAGTGGAAGCCAGAGAGGAAGCCTGTGACTCTTATAGCGTTCTGGCCATGCTTTTACTTTCACCCATAAGACCCAAATGAATCTGTCTGGAATTGAGAGCAATGTCTGCTTTCTGGGTCTGGAATTCTTATGACGATGACCACTACAATATTGTCTCCAATGGGTTCATTGCATCTGTTGTGACCTAGTATGTTGAATAAAATAAGCCTTCAGTCTTTATTCAGTTCATTTAATTTCCAAGTCTCATTACCCAGAACTGACATACAATCTTTTCTTTTTATTTACTTTCAACAACTGGTACTGGTTGGACAGCAACTGACATGAACACATCCCCAAATTCTGTCGCATTGGAGCAGAAATGTTGCAAAATGTATTTGCTTCCAGAAAAGTTGACCTCTTTCATTTAATGTTTTTTGTAGGCGGTACAAACCCTCAATGGCCAGCAAACTCTGAGTCCTGAGGAATTCACCAACCTGGTGTTCCATAAGATCGATATAAACAATGATGGTAATGGAGCTACTCTCTTCTGGATCGCTTTTCTTTCAAAGTAGGAGATGTTGGTAGTGGGGCATGTCATTTAGACAAAAGCAGAAACCATTCAAGAGAACCATAGTTATGACTTGGGCTTCATAACTGGACCAATCCAATGTTTTCAATATGATTCAATTGAGTGGTAAATATTTATTGACCATATTTATTTCCAATGTCGGATGCTTGACGTGTTGGGATATATAAAGAAGGGTAAAGATTAGACTAGGAAATAAATCGGAAGAATATAGGATGAAGTACGTTCTGCTGTTTGCTCTGAGACACACTCTATTAATCAGTTCCTCTCCACTGGAGGTTTTCCATCAGCTTACAAATAAACTCAAGTTTTCTCTATTGCAGAAAACTTTCCTTCAATTATGCTATCTTCTTTTACTATCAGACTTTTTCTTCCTTTGGACTAAACATTTCTGGAGAAGAGTTCACCCTTGCCTCCATTTCTGCTGTTTCTACCTTTTCTATCTACATTTCTGCTTGTTCTGATCGTTTCTCCATCAGCTCTTTCTATTCTGTACTCTGGGTTCCTGTTTAGCTCAGAGGAGGTATCTTTCTTCTTCAGAGGCAGGAGTGAAGAGAGAAGACACAGACAGCCCAAGAGAAATGAGTGCTTCTAATATAGCTTTGATATCAACAAACAGGTAGGTGAGCATATTGACTTGAGATTGAGGCAGAAGATCTAGGAATGGTCCTTGAAAAACAGAAAATTTGACATTGTTAAAAATGTAAGGTAGTAGTAAAATGTTTTAAAAAATGGATAAGAGGCATTGGCATGCCAATGATGGTTGTCATCATTCCAAAACCCCTTCCAAAGGCATCAACCTGCCCACCATGCATCACTTCTTCTAGTGGGCACGAGAGGGCAGTAGAGACCCATGTTCCCATATTGAGTGTGGAAGGTTGTACTAGCAAAATGTGGCAGCTCATCATGGCAGGATGGGACGGTGAGGAGGCTGGGAGGCTCAAATGCAGCCACTGCTGCAAAAAAGCCAAACCACTGGACAAGAGCATACTGCTCAAGAAAACAATCTGAAGACGCATCAGTCGTATCAATCTTCTTCACTGAAGGACCTCTGTCTAGATCTGCCTCTCCTGAATCTCAATCCAGTATGCTCACTTACTAGTGTACTGAGATCAGATAATGAAACATGTGAAAGCTTGCAAGAAACAGAGCCAGACTACCCAAAGTAGATAAGGAGGCTAAGTGTAGCTAGAACAGGACCAGAGAAATAGAGAGTGGAGGGTCTGACGAGGCCAATGAAGGCTTTATTTGGAATATTCTACTGAAAATGGTGGCCATAAAATTGGAGAAATGCTATAGATTTTGTTCTGTTTCACTTTGTTTTTAATTTTAGAGGTATGGCAGGATGGCAGGGATTGTAGTAGAGTAAATAATCCATTTCGGCTTGGGACTGAAAAAGCTGATGTAGAAGGATGAGTATTCTGGAAATAGATAGGACATCACAAAGTTTTAAGACATGGTTTCTACAGTTACTTTCAAAAGGGTAGGTCAAGAATGTTTGATAATTTCCACAAACACTGCTTCTATTGCTAGGAGTGAGGGGAATGGGAAAGTGAGCTTCCCCGGAGAAGTACAAAGATTTTGGTATTCTTAGGAAAAAACTAGATTCTATTAGTTTGAGAACACAGATAGCGTATTCCAGAAAACATGAATATGACTCAAAACTTTTTGTTTACTATCCAAGAAAATTCCCCAAGGGCAAAGTATAAGGAATCAATAAAATGGCGACTATGATTAGAAAGGAACTTGAAAAAGAAAGGGCTGGGTTAAAAGAGGTGTGAATTCAGAAAAGAGAAATTGTACCTGGGTAATAGCTCAGATTACCTGAAGTTAGAGACGAGCTCTTTGACCTACAAGAGTAAGTCAGTGACAGAAAAAAGGGGATGAATTATGATTTTCTGGAATAGTTTATAAAACTAAATACATGGATTGTTTCCTGTTATAGAAACTTGTATTTTAAGTAAGAAAATACACACACATCCACATCCATATCCATCCAGTAACTATGAATCACAATTTCTTAGCAAATGCTTATACAGAGCTAAAATTGATAGAATTTGGTTTTATATAAAAATTATTGACAGCTGTTACATTGTTTCATCAAGAGACAGCTGGGTCATTCCATACATCAAGAAAAGGATGCTAATCAATGTGCTGCAGAGACAGCCCGGTGTAACCAAAGGCAAGGAAGAAAAAGTAATGAAGACATAAAAGGTTGATATTTGCAGAAGTGCAAAAGGATTTGGCCAGTATTTGACAGAGAATAATAATATGAAGTGCTTCCTTTACAGATAAAGAGGGAGCTAGCACCACGAAGGAGAATGTCTATTCACATTTGCAAAATCTCAACTGTGTATACCTCAAATATAATTTTTTTTTTGAGACGGGGTCTCACTCAATCACCAAGGCTGGAGTGCAGTGGTGCGATCTTGGTTCACCACAACCTCTGCCTCCCAGGGTCAAGCGATTCTCCTGCCTCAGCCTCTTGAGAAGCTGCGATTACAGGCACGTGCCACCATGCCCAGCTAATTTTGTATTTTTAGTAAAGATGTGGTTTCTCCATGTTGGTCAGGTTGATCTCGAACTCCTGCCCTCAGGTGACCTGTCCACCTCAACCTCCCAAACTGCTGGGATTACAGGCATGAGCCACTGTGCCCAGCTACCTCAAACATAATTTTTTATTGTTCGTTATCATTGTTATTGAAACATCAGTGTTGATAGAAATAGAAATGCTCAATTAAGTATACCAAATTGCTGTTGACTATATGCCAACATACATATTTTTTATTTCTCAAAATAAAAAGTACATCATTGTGCCGATAATCTCATGAATCTTGAAACCAAAAGTAAAGATGATCACAGCACACAACTAAAAAGACTTTAGGTACATATATGAAAATCCCAATTTGATTGTAAATTGTTTGCAGAAGAATGGTCAACATCACATCTGTTGTGACGGAAAAATACACAATAGTTGTGAAGTATTCCAAGCCTAATTATTATAATAACAAATCAAAGTTAGAAGGCTAAGCAAAATAGAGGTACAGGATTCATGCTAGATTTGTAACAAGATGAAGAACTATGAGCTCCATGAAGGAAAGAACCATTTCTGTTTTGTGCACTTTGATATTTCCGATGCTGGCACACACTGGTGCTCTATAAATAGCTGATATGAGTGAGTGTCTGTTAAGAAGATGTCATATAAGAAATACAGAAATGAGTAAATCAAGAAACAAGCACAATATGCAATTTTGTCTATAGGAAGAAGTGTATCTAGATTTTTTTTTTTGGAAATTAACAAATATATGCATATATGTTGCAAACTTCATAAAATATAAACCTGGATTGGTTAGTAGGAGTTAATTACCTATGGGAAGTAGGACCAGGTGCCAGAAAGAGGTTAAAGAGGGATTTTTTTCTTTTCATTACATCTTTCTGTATTGTTCATTTTTTAATCGTGAGAACATATAATTTTTATTATTTACCAAATTTATTTTATATTATTAACAAAAGCACCAGGAAAGACAGCTTGAAGAGACTCACAGAGGCAGAAAATGGAAGTTAAACATTCAATATTGTTGAAAAACGAAAACAGAGAGGACAACAAGGCAAGTCGGGAAAAATGATTAAGTGCTGAATTCTGTAGGCTTTACTACCAGAAGAATAGCAATCCGCATCCTACCATGCTCTATTGAGGCCTCCTTCTTGACATAATTTAAGGAGATTTATGGATGTTCACAACATCAAGTGCAGAAAGTGCCTCAGCAAGTCTCACATAGAGCAAAAGAAGGCACAGGGATAAGGGAGACTTAGTGCCTCATGATAACAAATGGTGAAAGTGAATAGTGGCCAAAGAGGAAATGAAGTGGGGTGGGGTTTTGTTTTTGTTTTTGTTTTTTAAGGCGGAGTCTCACGCTGTTGCCCAGGCTGGAGTGCAGTGGCTCCATCTTGGTTTATCCAACCCCTGCCTCCTGGGTTCAAGTGATTCTCCTGCCTCAGCCTCCCAACTAACTAGGATTACAAATGCCTGCCACCATGCTCAGCTAATTTTTGTATTTTTAGTTGAGACAGGGTTTTACCATGTTGGTTAGGCTGGTCTCCATCTTCTGACCTCAGGTAATCCACCCACCTCAGCCTCCCAAATTGCAGGGATTACAGGCATGAGCCACCGCTTCCAGCTAAAAAGGGTGATTACTGAGCAGATATTTTGGGTAAAAAATAACAAGGACAGGACATAAAGAAGTTTTATTGAGTAACTAACAAGAAAGACCAGTGCTTTAGACTGCAACATTGTGAAAAGCCACGAGGGTCACATTAAATCAAACTGGGAAACTGAGAATTACCAGGAGATAAGAAAGAATTGAGTTTCCATGTAGAGGAAACGAAACTACTGCATGCTACAATTCTCCTGTAAAATGCTGCTAAATGCTTCTAGTGCCACCTTGCTAATAAACATACTGTGCCATTCAAAATCTTCACCAGCGTCCTCCCTTAAAAGCTTGGTTATTCTCATCTCCTGAATCTTCTCCACCCCATCTTTGCTAATTTTCCAGCCCCAGTCCAATGTTTTATGAAGTTATAATGAAAAGAAATTAGAATTTAACAAATTCCTTTACACAGGCTGATTTCTTTTAAACCAGGATGACTTCTTTAGAGCTGAAATGTAGATATGCACAGTAAATTCTGCCTTTCTTGTGGGGTTGGAGTTGTGTGAAAGAGAATATTTTCTTTTGTTATAAAAAATTATTCAAGATGTAAATGGGAAGAAATGCATCATTTAGGAATATCAACAGGGTAACGAGATTGCAAAAACAGGAGTAAGTAAAATATTCCTGGGTAGCTGTTCTATTACTAATGAGACTCCTGAAATTGGTAGTGAGTGAGGAAAGAGTACCAGTGATACTGTCCCCAGACCTACAGAATGCACCCACCAATACAGCAAACAGCCCTAAACAACATAGATTCCAATTACATATATTTATATTTCAACAATATAAAAATAAAATCGTGCACTTTCCAAATAATGTCCTACGAAAATTGAGATGTGTCTTTATACATAAAACAAAGTAATCAAAACTCAATAATGACTTTAGAGTCCTTCTGAATCCCATGATCTCCCATTCTGTCATC